TTCAATAGTGCGGCTTCTTTCACGAAACGGGATTTCGAGTTAATGGACGCTCGACATTATTCTTTTTGGCAACCACTTTTTCTGGTTTTCCTTTGTATTTTCCGCCTAGGTATACGGACCTAAACGTACCGCATGCAACCCAACTTCCTTTCTTTTTCGGAACGGTTTCCACTCAAACTTTGGCAACTCTGGATCCTTTTTTCTTTATTTTCAGACTTGTTGGGATTTTAAAGCTCGCTGCTATTTATTTTGATCAAATTTTATTGCGAAATTGTGGTCCTAGTCCCCGTAGTCCGCGTTTCACTAATAGAGTCCTGTCCGAGTTTTACTAATAGAGTCCAGTCCGAGTTTTACTAGTAAAGTCCAGTCCGAGTTTTACTAATAGAGTCCAGTCCGAGTTTTACTAATAGAGTCCAGTCCGGGATTTCTAATGGTTTGCCCCTAATCTGAGTCCAGTCCGCGTTCATTCTCGTACCCAGAGCCCTTCTTACGCGCGATGCGACGAGGGGCTCTGGCCAAATCCATATTCCGAACTGGCATCTGATTGGCTAGTTCTAACAACGGACATTGTTTTCTTACCATGTTTTTATGGTATCCGGTTATGGATTTGGCCAGAGCCCCTCGTCGCACCGCGCGTAAGAAGGGCTCTGGATACGAGAATGGTCCGCGTTTTACCACATGTCCGATTTTGCGGGAAATGACACAAATCGATTTCTAAAGGTCAAAGTCTAGAATTTGGAAGATTGCAATTGACAATATCTTCAAGACAATATAAGTCATTTCATGACACTTGTTTGAGTTTTGGAGTGTGGGCCTGTGTATATATCGACTTATAAAACTTGCATGATTGTTTTGTTTGTCTATATATATTTTAGTAATTTTTAGAATTAATATTTTTGTAAATAGAAACGGCCCCTTGAAAATCAGACTTACTGAAGGGTTACCGTTTTAAAATATTTGTAAATAAATAAATAAATAAAGTCCACATATATGTGTGATTTTAACGTCATCCGACTACGCCTACGGGAGTTCCAAGTATAGCGCGTGGCTCGAACGTGCAAGTAAAATCAAAATAAATATTTCTGCTCGCCGTATTCAACGAAAGTTTCTACATGAAAGCGCTTGAACGCAAAGACTATTTTACTCATATAGCCTTTAGAGAAAATAACGAAAAGTTTAGCCGATATTCAAATTTTTTCTCGAAATTCAGAATGTTCGGCCAAGGGTGAATAAATGTATGATTTTAATCATATACATTTACTCACCCTTGGCCGAACATTCTGAATTTAAAGTTAAAAGTTCTTTGTAAAGTAAATAAAAACTTAAAAGTTCTTTGTAGGTTTGCATGGCGATAAAAAATATAATACTTTTTGTTTGTGGAAACTGGAAACACCACGTCAATTTATTACTGCAAAGCTTTCGATCCGTAAGACCGGATCTTCATTACTGCTAGTAATATGTCATATTTAATAATATGTCTTAGTACTTTTGCACAAGTGAACATAACAAATCCTACAAGTCGATTGCTCAAATTTGACGTATTAAGCCGTTATATTCCCCTACAGGTGAATATAACAAAACCAAAATTTTCAAAATGGCGGCCAAGCCGTTTTGTGGAAGTTACTGATAAAGAAATAAGCGAAATTAAAATAAATTTAGTCCCAAAAACACAAAAGACTTGTGCAAAAATACTAAAACAATTATTCGTCTCAGGCTCGGTGATTATTGGGGAATATTCACCTCGACTTCATCTCGGCGAATATTCCCCGATAATCACCTCACCTTCGGCGAATAATTATCATTTATAGCCCGGAGCGAGGGGGATTCGGCGTAATATTTCCCTCAGTGATGATATTTTCCGAAGGGCTTTGCCCCGAGGAAAATATCATCACTGAGGGAAATATAGCCGAATCCTCCGAGCGGAGGGTCTATAAATGATATATTATACTGAAAGTTAAAGAACTCACCAAGAGTCTAAGTTCAGAATAAACTTAAAAACTTGCTGAATATTATTATTAACTACGCGAATACAATTTTTAATAGAGAGGTTAAGATACCCCGGTTTCGGTGTACGTGTACGGGTAGCATGATTTTGGCTAGCAATATTTTCGTCCATGTCTGTACCTTTACTCGTAATTAAGGTGCACATTTTTCGCATTATATATCATTGTCAATTGCAAGGAAACAGAAAAAGTATGATCGAATTACAGACATCAGTAAAACAAGATGACACTACTCGTACCGTGCATCGAAACCGGGGTATCTTAACCTCTCTAATTTCTTATGTATACCTTATGAGTTTTTGACGTTTCCTCTTTAAAATATTTGAGCATGTATCCTTTGGGTCATTGAAGGTAACATACGTCTTGAAAATCGTTGGTTAAATCAAACCTTCTGTGCGAAATTACAAACAACAGCTCGCGAACGCCATATTGCAAGTTTCAGAGCGTGGTAGTCACGCGTGAGCGTAGGATACTATAATATTCACGCTGGATTGCGAAATCATGAATTTGAGTGAAATACCGTAAAAAATCACATTGTCACGTGGTACAAATTATGTTTTTTCATTAGACAATTTGAATTTGAGGTATAATATTTGTTAAATATTTAAGCACTGATGTAGATCCGGGCTTACGGATCGAAAGCTTTGCAGTAATACATTTACGTGGTGTTTCCACAAACAAAAAGTATTAAATGTATGATTGTTTTGGTTTGTCTAATGCTTTAATGGCATTTGACCCCCGTTCAAAATGCTATTTTGTGAGGATTTCAATGGTGGTATTCGTTTAAAATTGGGGGGAGGGGGTAAATACTCGCGGAGATATTCACTTTAGACACAATAGACAACTTGCTTGTTAGGCTAATTTTTGTTCAGGCAAAAAAGTAATAGACCCATTGCACATGACGTCACAGCGCCGGTGACGATGCATCTGGAGGACAAATTAGCAATCTATGCATAATACTAGAAGTTACTATAAAAGTGCTGCCTCACCCCCAAGGGATCAAAGGCAACATGCGCAATTTGCTGAATAAGAGGCTGTTTATATGATCCCGTTTCGCCAGGATGAGATATGAGGCGGGATGTTTTCGATGTATTGAAATAAGTCATGGTGCACAATTCAGCAAAAACCTTCATTATTTTCTAGAAATAGATTATAGTTAACTGTAAATGAAAGGTTGTTCAAGCAGCAATAATAATCTTCTTGAACTACAAGATCTTCTCTACAATATTTGAGTTCTGTTAACAAGCATTTGAACTATTGTTTAGCCTGGTGACTCATTTCAATACATCAAAAATCATCCCACCTTCCATCATGTGAACAGCCCCTAAGACTACGATGCATGTTCAGGAGGTAGAAAAGGAGGAATATCAAACACCTTGCACAAGGTCAAAGGTCAGCTAAATATTCTAATCCCCGAGCCATTTACACCTGGGGAAAGGGAAGCATTAGCGAAGTCTAAAGTTAATCATTGATCGCGGGCGTGGGTGACCAACCATGGGTGGTCATCCTCACCACAGATGATAGATTATACCAGATGTCTCACTCTGTATCTATCCCTATGATTTTCGTGTCCGCGATTTTTACGTGACTGATTACGAATTGCACACGCCAGATGACGCGTGCGACACTTACTACCAATTGCTCACGCAATGCCACGCCATAACCACGCCATACTTTCACGCCATTATTTTTAATATTGGATTTTAACTAATATAAGAAAGGGAAACAGCAAGTTTAATCGCAAAATATGTTTAAAATAGTGCCAAAAATGTACATCTAGCTCTTTTTTCCCACCGTTTTGGACAGTTAACTGGTCTTAACTTGCCTTTTATTTAGTGAAAATTTTTGAAAGACGCAGCCTCGAAGTTTTGGACTTTTGGTGAGCAAAACTTTGATAAAATTGTAAAAATTCAAGCTTTGAGAGATGGAGGTTGGTAGATATTGTTGCCGTAATGCTTTAACTTAACTAGGTGTAACATATAAGCATTAAATATTTCAAGTGAAATATAAAAAAATGTGGTAGGAATTTCCGCTCGTAATACAAAAGCAGTATACAAAATTTTCAAACTTTGCAAGGCTATATTTTCCGCATTTTACAACATTTCGCAACCAAACTTTGCACTTTTACTAATCTTATTATGTTCTTTCTAGCTGTTGTAATTGACTCTATTCTCCTTGCCTAGAATAAAATTTAGCTAGTCCATATTATTGGGAATCTGAAAAGCGCGCTAAATTTGGACACTCTTTATACATACCTTTATATATACCACAGCTTTTGTACACTCTTTATATAAATTGTTATACAATTCAATATTATCCCGGATTCTCCGATTCCCCATTCTCTGATTCCCTATTCCCTATTTTAAAGATAGCCAAGGTGATACATTGAAATATATCCTGCAAATTAAAGTGCAGCTGATCATACATGCACTTACCATATTTTCTGCAACTTTGTTGAAGAACTGTTGCTTACTAGCTTCAATTTTCAGACGGCTATTCCTGGTTTATTTTGTAAACTAGAAGTTATTACACCAAGGAAAGTGCTGCCTTGCGTCGAAAGCTTTGGGTTAGGTTGTTCAAAATTTGTTTAGCTACTTTAGAATAATCCGTGGATATTAAAGTGAAAACTAAATAACACTATAATGGAACATAAAACTATAATTATAATTTTTTTAAACAATGAAAATCGTATTTTGTTATAACATATATGTTAAACGATAATAGAAATTAAGTAATTCTGGATCATTCCACGGCTTATTTCTCCGATAATATCATACATTTGGCTATTATGCGATTGTCACTAAAGGCGGTTTTCCACTAGGCGAAACTTTTCGACCGAATCGAAATTTTCTTTTGTCTTACAAGCACTCAGATGGAACTAAACAGAAATCTTTTGAATTTGAACAATAGAAATTTCGGTTCGCCTAGTGGAAGACCGCCTTAAGGTATTTTAGTAATTTGCGGAATATTTCAATATTCTTAAAGGCCGTTTTCCACTAGGCGGAATTTTGCGCGCGGAGCGGAATTTTTCTTTGTCTTGTGATTTCTCAGGTGGAATTAATTAGAAAAGACAAAGAGAAATTCCGCTCCGCGCGCAAAATTCCGCCTAGGCGGAATTTTTTCGCTGGGAGCGGAATTTCTCTTTCTCTTTTCTAATTCACGTTCCACCCGAGAAATCATAAGACAAAGAAAAATTCCACTGCGCGCGCAAAATTCGGTCTAGTGGAAAACCGGCTTTAGAATAACTAGGGTTGGGCGATATTAAAAAAATCATCTCACGATTATTGTCAAGGAAATTATCACGTTATTCGATAATATCGCGATAAATGCAATAAAACAATGACCATCAATTAATATCAAGTATCATTGCATAGTAAGCTTATATATAATCTTATTAAAAACAAGTAAAACAACAAATTTAAAGCAATATGAATAATACTTTTTCTAGTCTAATATTTGCTGTTCATAAACCAGAACCATTTCCTAATCTATGCCAGAACTGCCTATGCAGTGTCTATTGTGTCTCCGCTGGCACAAATGCCGTGGGCACACAGCGCAAGCAAAGCCAGCAATTCCATTGTTCAGCAGATTAATACATAAATATTAGTTTTTGTATCGTATTAAATTCGTATTTAATTCAGGAAATAGTTTTAATTCTTTTAAAAACTATATTTTCTAGGGAATTGAAAGAATTTTTTAGGATTTTATAACAGCTATACACACATGCGAAGCAATATCCCGACAGTCATCGAGCATGACGATAATTTCGATATATCATCACTCAAGTTTCTACCTTCGCGATAAATCAAAATATCGAAATATTGCCCAACCCTACTTTAGACACAAAGCCAAGTGTGGTCACTTCCAGAGTAATAACGACCTGGAATGACTCACAGTTATAATTATTATTATAATACTTTTCAAAACTTCGAAACATTTTGGCTGGCAAAATGAAGTGTGAAATCGACTGTACAGAGGCGGTTAAATCCATTCTGACTGTGTGCTATGTGAAGATCCTCTAATATAAGCAATGCCCAAATTTTGCATTGTTTCGATATCTTCTAAAACAGTACTGGTAACCTTAATCTATATTCATTAAGCATATGGCAAATCAAGTCTTTTCTTCGTAAATCATAGCAATGTATATGCCTGCACCATTCTATCATTTCTGTGGGCCTATAGTAGATATTTAGACGGTGAATATAAAGTTATTACTAATAACTAGTAATAATTAAGTAGACATTGTCGACACCGTATAACTATAACTTACCTTCAAAAAGTAATTTTCTAAGGAAATTATTGTTTTTAATTACTAAAGAAATTATTGTCTTTTATTATATATGACAAGCATCACTTCCCGTGAAATGGAGGACTGTGATTGTGGCTGATAAGCACTTTTCCATTATTTTCCCGCAATGGCCGGTCCATTACGTGAAATAACGGGATGCGTTTTAAAACAAAACAGCAAAACTAATTGAAAATTTAAAAATTATAATTTAATTTGTTATTAATAAGATATCTGCGAATGGTTTTAGTGGGAAAGAAGGAATACATTGCCATTGGTATTTTTTTGCTTTCTTCGACCAGATATGTACCACGCTACTATAATATACATTTCAAATCATGCATTTCTTGTTTAATTGTATCAAATATAAATGCCTATAAATGCCATATAATAAACTTTTTATTAACCTCGCTTGCTCGGTATGTACAGAGAAATATCGAACCTCCGTCTTTTTGTACAAACCTTGCCCTATGGACTCGGTCTGTACAAAAAAGACCTCGGTCCGATATTTCTCGTCGGTACAGATCCTGGCGTTCGGTTAATCAGTAAGAAGTTATCAATGTTTTATATTTTTTATTTTTCATCATGGCGGAATGTACAGAGCGAGAGCTTCACGGCGACTACCGGGCAATTACCGAGCATCAGAATCCAAATTTCTTGTATATTTTTACCCAAGCTGCCGATTGTTATAACTCGGTCAAGGGAGCTGGTTCTAGTCATTACGTCAAAATGCGTTGTCGAGATTAGTTTGCTCCCTACGGCAGCAAAAAGCTCATGTCTGAGTCACACATGTAGTCCGTGTGTTCATAGTCACTCTTCGAGTAGAGTGACTATGGTGTGTTGTGACCTCGAAAAGTGCCTAGAAAACGATTTTCATAATTAAGCATGTCTTAGATCTGAAATATCTTTACGGGAACTAACACTTTCGAACATGCTGAGTTCAAATCCGAAAAGTTCCCACTCCGTAGACCCGCAGTTTTCTGTGACACAAACTGCTATTTTATCTTCACTAATTTCACAGCAAATTTTTTCATTGTTCAAAGACACGGATCGATGACGATACACGATTATGTCACTCAAATGGACCAATTTCTATTAACCATTCTTTCTTTTAACAAAAGGCCGGTTTTGCTCGAATCATTTTGAGTTATGCAATTATCTTATGCGTGTTGGACGTAAACAACATATCTTGTCTACAACTTTGAGAAGGTACAGATAATTTCTTCTAATATCCTTAGTTCTGGAGCTATCTCTATAAAATTACAAGGACGTTAAATGTTAAGTTATTGGACTATGTCTCTGGGCTGAGAAATAATTGCTTTGATGCGATCAAAATTTTTATACAACGATGTAAAACGGTAATCTTATTTAATGGATCAGCATTTAAATTTCCAACACAGTTTCTGAGATGTAATTCAAGAGGTAACTTATCATCATGCATTTGAACTATTACATCAGTTGGTGTTATACTGTGCGATAAGCGAATATTATTGGAAAGAGGGCTTCCATATACGTTGAAATCACCAAATAAACAGCTCATGCACACATTTCTCTACATCGTCGTAAGTATACAGAGCATAATTTATACTTTCATTTGGACTGATCTTTGTCTTTGATGTGAACATTTATTCTTATAGTTTATAAGGTTATTTAAGATTGATCCTGTCGTAAGTGTTCTACCAGCAACCAATCGACAATATTTCATTTTAGCGTTGTCTTTGCCGTCGCATTAACTGATGTCCTTGTGATTTTATAGCGATATCTCTGGAACTGAGGCGATCGAGCAAACGAAATTGAAAATTAGGGAGACTGGTAGTCCGTGTGTTGTGACCGATATCGTTCACTTTCATTAAGCATGTCTTAGATCTAAAATATTTTTACGGGAACTAACACTTTCGAACACGCTGAGTTCAAATCCGAAAAGTTCCCACTCCGTAGACCCGCAGTTTTCTCACAAAATGCTATTTTATCTTCAATAATTTCAAGACAAATGTTACATTGTTCAACGACAGGGATCGATGACGATACACGATTATGTCGCTCAAAAGGACGAATTTCTATTAACCATTCTTCCTTTTAACAAAAGACCGGTTTTGCTCGAATCATTTTGAGTTATGCGATCTTATGGGCGTTGGACGTAAACAACATATCTTGTCTACAACTTTGAGAAAGTACAGATAATTCTTTCTAAAATCCTCAGTTCTAGAGATATGTCTATAAAATCACAAGGACATGAATGCGAAGTCTTCTGGCTATGGCACTGGCCTGAAAAATAACTCCTTTAACGCGATCAAGGTATTTAAAACAAAAGTACCGCGAAGCCAACGCAACGGCAAAGACAACGCTAAAATGAAATATTGTCGATTGGTTGCTGGTAGAACACTTAGGCAGAATCAATCTTAAATAACCTTAAACTATAAGAATAAAAGGTCAAATCAAAGACAAAGATCAGTCTCAAAGTATAAAATATGCTCTGCAAACTTAAGACGAAGTGAAGAAATGTGTGCATGAGCTGTTTATTTAGTGATTTCAACGTATATGGAAGCCCTCTTTCCAATAATATTCGCTTATCGCACAGTGTAACACCAACTGATGTAATAGTTGAAATGCATTGATAAGTTATCTCTTGAATTACGTCTTGGAAACTGTGTTGGAAATTTAAATGCTGATCCATTACATATAGATTACCGTTTTACATCTTTGTATAAAATATTTTGATCGCATGTAAGGAATTATTTCTCGGCCCAGAGACATAGCCCAAAGATTTAACATTAACGTCCATGTGATTTTATAGAGATAGTTCCAGAACTAAGGATATTAGAAGGAATTATCTGTACCTTCTCAAAGTTGTAGACAAGATAATGACGTTTACGTCCAACACGCACAAGATTGCATAACTCAAAATAATTCGAGCAAAACCGGTCTTTTGTTAAAAGGAAGAATGGTTAATAGAAATTGGTCCTTTTGAGTGACATAATCGTGTTTCTTCATCGATCCGTGTCGTTGAACAATGAAAAAATTTGCTGTGAAATTAGTGAAGCCGGACAAAATAGCATTTTGTGAGAAAACTGCGGTTCTACGGAGTGGGAACTTTTCGGATTTGAACTCCGCGTATTCGAAAGTGTTAGTTCCCGTAAAAATATTTCTAGGCACTTTTCGAGGTCACAACACACGGACTATAGTAGCTGTAATATTTTCATTACGATCACAGCCCCACAGTAAGTTCCATTTTGCACTGAGTATATTGAGCCGCACCTAAACGAAAGAATAGCTCAATGAACTAGACAAAACAAACGTACAGGAATACCTGAATAAATTATATCGCGATATACCTGTATATATCTTGCGATTTGCATGATACTGCACTAATTTTCTGCAATATACCATGCTAGATTGAAGTTAACTTTAAAAATAGAAATATATATTTCATTTAATTGCCGAATATTTCGAACCATGGTTAACAGATATAAAATTGAGTATAGCGCAAGATAATTTGCAATGAATTATAGGAGAGTGTCAAAAAACTCGTCATGTAATTTTTTTTATGACAGTTCTGCTGGATCTGATCTAAAACTCCACACGAGTCGGAACACAAGTGAACACGATTGAACACGAATGGAACACGAATGAACACGAATGGAACACGAGTGACATACGAGTGAACACGAGTAAGAACACAAGTGAACACGAGTGAACACGAATGGAACACGAGTGACATACGAGTCTTAAACGACTAAAACACTAATACGTACGACTTATTAATTAATAGGTCAATACGAACAAAGTAAAATTGATTCTTGCAGGGATTGTGATGTTACGGCATGGCAGTGCAGTGCACAAGGATATGTGAGAGGGGGGAGAAGGGCGATTCAAAAGAAGTTTCTTGTGAACTTGATATATAATTTATACGGGTATTTTTGTTAATAAATGTTGGTAGGCCGTTGTTGTTCCCACGCGGTTCTACGTGCAATGCCTTTAGGGCACGCAGAGAAATTGGAAATATCACAACTAACTGTGTAATGGTTTATTTTCCAAACTTGAACTGTATCAAACATATTCCTCCCCAAATTAAGACAAAAAACATCAAGGTATACAATCTAGTGCCCAGAGCCTGCGGTTCTTATCAGGGCGTAACTTTTTTACCATTTTAACCATTTTAAGGACATGCTCGTCGGGCAAAAAAAGTAATTCAGCAAAACATTTTATATATAATTTATTGAAAAGTAATAGTTGTAGCTAAAATTTTGATAAATTTTACGAAAATATTACTGAAAAATTCTACAAATTACGGTAGATTAGTTCGAATGTTACTGAAAATGGTAGGTCCGAAAATTTTTTCTCTCCCCCGCCGCTTGGGTTCTTGTGTTCAACAACGAGAGCTTTTGGTAGTTTAGTATGTCATCTTATAGTATGCAACTTCAAGTATATGATTGTGGATATGATCTTATCATATTTCACTCGTGTTCCATTCGTGTTCACTCGTGTCACTGCTGTTCACTCGTGTTCCATTCGTGTTCACTCGTGTTCTGACTCGTGTGGAGTTTTAGATCAGATCTGTACTAAACTACTAAATTGGCTCTTGTCGTCGAACATAAGAACCGCATGCTGTGGGCACGATATTGTATACCACCGCGGAACGCATACAAATTCGGTATAGTTTATTTCTTTCATAATAGAGATGCAATATGCATCCATTTTCATGTCGTTTTATTTTACTCTTGAGACCGAAGTGTTTTGGAAACAAGAACTGCAGTTATACTATTATCGCTCGCTTCATATTTTAGAACTTTACCTTGTAAAGTTATGTTAGCAACCCTGATTTTGGCTTTATATAGCCGAAAAATTGAGAATTTAATTTTTCCTCTAAAAAGTTCAATGATGTTCAAAAAGTTCACATTTAACAAAAATAAACTGAACCATTAGAAACTTCGAAAATTTAGACATTTAGACGCAAATTTAGACATTAGACATTTAGACGAGTAGCATGATTTTTGCATATAGCAGATTCTGAGATTTCGGCAAAGTTCAAAAATGAAGAAAATGCGCAAATTGATCAGGGACGTCGCTATAGTGGGGGTGTGGGGGGTGTAACACCCCCCCCAATAATTCAAAAGTTGGTCAAAATGGAACAGGTATTTGCCCAAAGTTGGTCAAAAAGGAACAGAAATTTGCTTAAAATTGAAGGTAAAACCCGGGATAAAACTGATGGTCGAAGTTGCTTTTGTTATGTTTGCGCTGAAAAAATTGGAAGCCTTGCTTATCTTGGCCGAAAAATGTTCAATATGCCTATGTTAGTCCGGAAATTTTTTTTGACCACCCCCCGTCGACAGCATTTTCGGGAAAAATTTGTACTACTTGGTCAAAATCCTAGGGAATGTTGGTCAACCCCCCCCCCCCAATGTTGATGGCTTCGCGACATCCCTGAAATTGATGTTTAATAAATATAGTCACTATTTTGCCAACTTTAATTAAACTCCTTTAACTCAATACTAGTGGCTTGAAATTCGCGCTACTCGCTTAATTACATATCTTGGGTTATAGTTTTTTGCGATCTTTCTAATGGTATAGTCAACATGTTGGCTTTATTTGGCAAAATTTTAAAATTCTCAAATTTACGGATGTAAAGCCAAAATCAGAGGTGCCAATTATATAGCTATAGTCTCGTTCGCCAATGTTTTTAAAAGCTGTAAAAATAGGCAGTTGGCAGCTTGTAACAAAATACAATCAGACTGTAACTTTCTGAATGTTGGCCAGTCGTCTATTAGAGTTATTGCCTGAATTTATAAGTAGAACTGAACAAAATACGCGATTATTCACTCGATTTGCGTATTTGGCTAGTCATAGTCTATAATAAAACAACATTCACGCTAAGGTGTAATATGTGGGCTAAATTATTGTTCTTTGCCTTACCTAAATTTACCTTGCAGTTCAGAAACATGTTTGGGCATTTACATGGTGCTTTTAGCGCTCTGGTTTACCGTTCGCACTAATCAAAATGCAATCCAATCTTCGGTATATTTCCTTACGAACTTCTTTGAGGTTCCAAAGTTGTTGCGAGGTGCCCACAAACTTAATTAATCATGTGGTATATATATATATATATATATATATATATATATATATATATATATATATATATATATATATATATATATATATATATATATATATATATATTTTTATTGATTTATTATCCCAACTCTATTACTATACGTATAAATAACCGCAATTCGCGAAGGTTTTGGCAAATTTATGTGTATATTCCATTGCTCTTGACCAATGTAATCTCTGTCCTTTAGGACAATGCATACGGCACGACAGAGGATCACTAATCTGATAAAGAATAGCCACAAAGTTTCTGATAAGTACCTTTGGTACCCCGTACCCCGCAAAGAAGATGCAACGCTGTCTGAGAATGGCCTTCCACTCGAGCAAAGAAAGACTGCTTGGAACCAGCTCCACAACCACTTATTCTCCTATCAAAACACGTTTCTAGGTTTTCAGATTAACCAAAGTTTTGATTCCGAAAAAGCGAAACCATTCTTGAATATCGCACTCAACAATGATGGCGATCCATTCTCACCATCATCACAAGACGCCATGAACACTAAAGTCATGGAATGTGCTGTGCTGGATTATTTCGCTAAATTATGGCGGGTACAGCAATCTTTCCATTCAAACGAGGCGGAACGTGCATACTGGGGTTATGTAACGGCCATGGGAAGCAGCGAAGGAAATATTCTCGCATTGTTCAACGCAAGGGATTATTTAGCCGGCATGCCACTCCTTCATCCCATGCTGAATCTTGACGGCTCCAAAGTGCCAGACAGAGATGTTGATCCGAATCAACCAATCACGGAAATGCACGGGCATTCTATGCTTAATGAATATGTTGCATCTCACGATCATCGCAATGAAAAGTTAACTCATACACCTCGGAAGGACAATCCGAACAATTTTACACCGGTTGTGTTCCTTGCTGAAGATTGTTATCACGGATTTGAAAAGGCATTACGAGTGTTACAGATGAAAACATTCTGTGATATTGGCAGTGGAAATTTTTCTTGTCCGTTGAAATACCCAGACGACTACCCTAGTAGTTTCAGTGATGAATTTCTCGATCAAAACGGTTGGCCACATGCAGTACCTGTAGAAGCCGATGGCTCAATCAGCATCCCTTGTCTCGTGAAACTCGTCACCGCCTTCGTATCGAGAGGCTTTCCTCCGCTGGTAGTTTTTACATCCGGTACCACATTTAAAGGAGCTAACGATAATCCACAAGCTGCCATCAATCAACTGGTGCCAATTTTGAAACAACATGGTATGTATGAACGCCGCGTTTATTCTCCAGAACACCCAACTAAATCTGATATTCGCAATGGATTTTGGTTTCATATTGACGGCGCCTTAGGCGGAGCCCAACTCCGGTTTCTCGAAATGGCAATAGATGAAGGTTTGGTTGACAATGTGTTTCCAAATGGTTTTCCAGTATTTGATTTCCGTATTCCTGAAGTGAAATCTATTGCAATGAGTCTACACAAGTGGTTTGGCTGCCCTGTTCCTTCTGCAGTATTTATGATGAGAAACAACGATCAAGTAAGACCTCTTGACCAACCTTTGTTAATCGGTGGTCTGGATAGCTCTCTGTCTGGATCCAGAGGCGGACACAGTGTATTAGTCATGTGGGATCTGCTTTCAAAGAAATCTTACGACGATTTTAAAGAAATAGCCGCAGACGGAGTGCAAATGGTGGCCTTTTCACTGGAAATGTTACAAGAGCTCCAAGAGGAACTTTCCTTGGACTTGTGGGTGTCACACACACCTGGTTCATTGTTTATTTATTTCAGAAAACCAAGGGAAGATATCGTGCGCCGTTATTCTTTGGGTTCGAAACCGATGAAAGTGAAAACTGTGGATGGCACGTTCGAAGAAAGGATCTATTGTCATATTTGCCTAATGCCGCATGTAACCAAGAATTTAGTTCTGAAGTTTGTCGAAGAATTGCGAGAACCTGGAGCATTTGCAATTGATAACTAACTTATAGCATTATAATGATACATTTTGGACCTACTTGTAGACGGACCATAGACAGCTGTATAGGCCGCAGCGCTTTTATAGTATTTGGAAGTAGACATAGGGCGCATTCCATTAACACGGCCAGACCAAGTTGGTGAATGAAACACAAAACGTTTGGGCTTTGGACCTATCTGACCTGAAAATTTAGATAAAATTAGAATGAGGCCCATTTTCGCTAGATATTTTAGAAACATCGACCAGATCTTTCCATTGATACAGAGACAAAAATTCGGGTCTGACCGGTCAGGCCATTAAATGGAAAGCGCCCATAGTACTGGGAAGTAGACATATAGTACTTAATCATTATTAATTTTTTGTATGTATCAGTCCACAACAGTACAGGACAAATAATATTCCGCTTTGCATGCGTTTGTAAATCTATGTTCTGTTGTCAGAAATCTGTCGAAAGTTGGCGACTTAACAATCTGAATAATGTCTGTAAAAACGAACAGTAATACATACTAGGGTGAATCATTAAATATTTTGGGATACGCATAATAAATGTTCAGGATAAGGAGCAGTTATTCAAGCTCATTAAAAACTCACCATGTTGAAATGTTAACACGTGCTTTACCTCAATATATTTTATTATAATAAATGTCCAGGATAAGAAGCAGTTATTCAAGCTCATTAAAAACTGACCATGTTGAAATGTTAACACGTGCTTTACCTTAAATGTATTTTATTGGCACAATAAAAGGAAGCTAACTGGGAATTAAGATACGCCCGCACTGTTACGCGTAACACGTTGTTGTATGAATATATTTTGTGAATATACAGGGTGTATATAAAAAAAACTGAACAGATTTGAAATTGCTCTCAATTTCGCAAAACACCTATTTGTGTCCGTTTTTATGTATATAGCTTTTTTGGGCACTTATAATGTAGAATAATGAAAAAAATTTCTCGAACTCAAATTTTGTGAACCAGGGGGGTGTGTCTTTTCCAACAAACTAAAAATGGCTCGCGCACAAAATTTAAAAGTTGTAATCATATTTTGAGTTAATAGATGGGAAATTCGTCGGGTTTTTAATGCGAAAGGCTGACTTTTTAGAATAAAATGAATAATGGGAAATTTATCAAATGGCCAGCATACAGCAATTTCATTCTCATAAAAATATAACCACGGAAAATTCTTTCCATTGCTTTATTTTGTTTCGTATCTACAGTGCGTCATTGTATCAGACAAACTTTGCAGGTTTGACCGATCACTCAAACACCTGACCATGCCCAATCAAATCTGCTCACTGCTACTGAGCAAAGTCGTGGTGAAGTCCAGCGACCGACAAAATTCAGCAGAAGCATGATATCAAAAATCGCTTTTTAGGTCATTGCAGTTTGTTCCTATAACTACATATAGCTATATATATACATATGGCATGTTGTATATTTCTAAAAAAGTCGAATTTTGTTCAACGTCATGGGCCTTTCATTTATGAAATAACACTTGGTACATCCACGACTTTTTGGAATACTCTAGTATGTACAGTTTATAAGGCCAACAGTGTGGATTATAACAATTTCGCTTGGGTCTGACAAATGTCCGATCAACTGCGTGTACAGTTGCTCGTACATTGGCAAATAATGGTCGACCAACTTTTCAATATTTATGTTTAATTGGCGAACTATTTGATAGGCAATTCCAGCTTTTAATTTATGAGTGCAGGGGGGGGAGTAAGGTATCATATTACTGATTATGCTGAAAAAATAAAAGTATAAGCTATTATACTTGTAAATATTGAAATATTTCGGTTGTTTCGGCAGTTTTTGTTGAAAATTTTCAGCATACTCAGCAGTATGATACCTTATTTCCCGAGTTCTCGTCACCCCATGCACGCATAAATTAAAAGCTGGAATTGCCCATTTGATGATAGCTTCTGCTGATCACTTCCCGAATGATCAATCACATTACTGAATTTTTGATAACCAGTTCCAAAGACCCGTACAACTGAAAAATTCTTGGTTTCATGGATATTTTTTTAAAATTTTGTCAGGGGCACTTTAGGTTTGTGACTTGGGTGGAAGCTCCCCCCCCCCCCCAAATTTCAGGATTTTTTTACTTGGAGGATTCCCTCCTCCTATGGTCACAAACTCAGACGTCATTTCCTATATTCACCTATTTCCAAGTGAGAGGATAGAAATGATGTCTGGAAATCCAAGTGATTACCCCTTTTTATACTGAAGGTTATATGCCTCTTTGGGGGAATTTTTCCCTACCCCCCTCTCCCCCACCGCAAAAATACTCCTGTTTTGTGCATGTCTGGTACCATAAACTTGTGATGTGATTTTGTTGATTGTCACAGCGAACCCAAGAAAAAAATGTTTTGTGTTCCTTCTCTCGCTTTTACGCTTTAGTATTAATCAAGTAACAATTTAAATGAAAACAGCCTATTTTATTTGATCGGTCAAAATGTGCAAAATAAAGTTGATCGATTATACATATAGTATTTTTGTTCGGCAAATAGCCGATTGCCGATCATTATAATCCACACTGAAGGCCAATGATATCGTGCACATCCAGTGGTCGTCGATTAATTGATTAGTCGGGACCCGCTCAATATAATACCAATAAGCGCACGATTGTTATAGTACTAATTTCACATTAAAAGTGATGAGCCATGTTTCTTGCCAGGCCACGCCTCTTTTGCGTATTTCTTCTTCGGTGCTTCTTGTGGCATGGACGGTGCAAAAGTGTTCTCATGTACAGTTCTATCCACATCTGTATACTCAGGTCCCTCAACTTCCGGTGCAGCTGTCACTCTACTTCCGGACTGTACCGGATGTAATGAAAAGTCGTGTTCGTGATCGGCAAGAGATGGAAGATCTGCGTATAGTTCTTCTTTATAAGCAAAACTGTTCATTCTTTTCGTAATACTCTCCGTCATACTGCCTAGTTTAATTGCATGGCGAGGTTCCTGGATAACACAGAACAAAAAGACTTTAACCATTTCGAGCAGGTTTTTGTAATATATATATTGTTTCCATATTAGTGGCTATGGTAACAAAAAAACGAAACCTTGTTTTTATTATCAAGCGCAAAATAACCCAATAGTCTTGTCCAATACGAGAGTATTGACCTATTTGATAATATATTTACTTGGCATAAACAGTTGATTTGTGTTCCATCTACCCTCATTATCACATATCAATTATCACATATCGAAAACAATGCAATCAGCCACTCACCATGAGCAGATACATGTACGCTTAGCGTACCTATTTTTATTGATAACATCCTATGCGACCTTTTCATGGACGACATCGTAGACAATCCTGTTCGGCGTCGCCCAGTATTGAAGTTGAAAATATTCAATATATTCAAATAACTTCTAAACCAATTATATTTTCCAAAACACACATCACATTTTTCTCGAAACACCTTTCGAGAGGAAGTTGTTTCGCCCATTCCTGTGGAGTTACAATAGAGAATAGAGTATATAGCATAACATACCTTAACTTGCACAATACTTGTTTGAACCATATTACGAAATTTACCAACTGAAGGATCTACATCCTCTGCAGAAGAAAAAATAAATGTTAGGATAGAAACGTCAATAAAGTACAATGCAATGCAGTACAGTGTAATAACATTACAATAGCAGTAAAATATTCTAATATAGCGCAGGTTTCCTCAACCTCGTTCCCAGGGTCTTTAGGAAAGACCCTAGTATCGGCTGGTCACGTGCCTCGTCTAAAATTTAGCGCCCGAGGGGGTGTGGGGAAAGTATCAAATTACATGCTTCCCGTAGGATATTATGTTTTATTAACAGTTAAAAACATAAATTTTGCGAATTACTATAAGCTCAAAATACTGTACTTGCTAATTTTTGTTTATTTTATTTGCTTTGAATTTGCAAGAGCATTCTTACATTTTTACCAACAGTCAAGTCAAGAAACCAAGCAAATCGTTACTCGCAGTGCTCTCTCGTGTTGTTATTCAATGCTCTCTTCACACTCGAGCGCGGTTTTATATAACAAACGTTTATGGGCTTTTCAGCCTGGTCATCATTTAAAATAGATTTGTCCTTTCTTGTAAACGTTGATATGCTTTGCACAGATTTACTTGTTACGACGCGTCTTGTTTATAAGATTTTTAAAATAAACAGTATTGTGTTGTCTAGGACTAGAGCCCAATATTAGCCAAACAGAGAAATGTCGATTTATCAGCGATTCATATTTAAAACAAGACGCCTGCTCAGGCGTTCACACTGGCCTGAAAATAACGAGATACGTGCTATGGTGCAAAAGGCAGGAATACAAATCTTAAACCGCAAGCAAATTTTATGGACTTTTTAAAAAAATAAAAGACCTTTTCGGGAGACGTAATGGAGATCGATGCACGTTCAAATCATGCCGACCTGCAGAATCGATTTCCGGTTTTTCCAAACAGCGCGTTGTTTTCATATGCGTTTCATGGGCCGCGCTAAAAATATAAATATTCTGTAAATACCGAAATAAAAGATGAAAATCTCAAGACACAAGCTTGAAAATAACACTATAAATAGTGTTTTCGATTCTGGTTCCAATAACATTATCACGAAAAACATGATATGTCCAAAGGGGCCGAAGTTATGTTCGGCAAAATGTATGGCTAGTTTGCATTGTTAGTTGTATTATGAAATATTATACCATACTTGTATTAAAATTCGCGTCGAACTAATGTTATTGTAAATTAGTAGACTTGCCACAAGTTGACCAACGAAATGCGTTTCTTCGAGGTCGACTTGTGGCAAGTCTAGCAAATGAGAACCATACAAATGATACAATAATAGTTCTAGTTCTTGTTGGTATTTTGAACGCACGCTTTATCTTTAGTATAGCAACCACAAAGCTTTTCGCGCGGATTATATTTCGTGGAGTACTAAATATTATATTTTGTGGTTTTCGAGTCATTACACAAAGAAAGACACATTAATTCAACACGCAAGAAAGTCCAGAGTACGACGCAACGTAAAATACATAGGAAACCGGCACAATTCTTTGAAAATTCAACGAAACTGTGTACTGATATAGTTTGATCACTCTGTGAAAACCAAATTGTGAAAACCGCCATTGCAGTTCGGAATTGTGCGCGTGCGTATACAAGTGTATAGGCTAATAAACGAAAAATGTACCACAAGCATGGCATGAGTCGGCTATTACGTACATATATACGAGCTTATTACTATGCTATATAAATCATGGAACCGAGGGAATCGATGGCATTTTGGCTTAATCGTTGCACCCTGAGCCTGCGATGAGCTAACCCAAACTCGATTTCTCGACTACGAAAAAAACAGAAAAAAGGGGATTTAAGACACTTGGCCTTACAGGCCAGTGTAATAAACAGCGATTTATCTTTAAAATTTTGGATTTAGTACATAATTCGTATTCGGTAATTATAGTCAGGCTTTAGCCTTTTTCTTGGTCTCTATTAATCATAATAATTTCTTAATATACTATAATCTATATCACAAATTTGCAGTGTCAGATGCGCACAGACTGCCATACGAATAGACATAAAATTTTCGAGTTTTGTACTTCTACTAACATTTTTAAAGTTTTCATTGTGAATCATCTGTTTATCACTAATTCATTAGTCATTATACTACTATTAAGTAAAACAAGGCTCTCAAATATATTTGTATATTTATTTGGTAGTGTCATAGTGATACATGCATTTTATACACACAAGCAATCCTGGATATGATAGAGACGATACAAGCTGTCCATTAAAAAGTAACGGGATTCTATTCCACAAAGCAAAAAATTTTATATCTCACTTGTATTATTAAGAATATATATACAGTAAAGCAAAAAATTAAAGCTTGTGTCAAAACGAAAGCTGTTTATAAAATTTATAAATGTGGTAAACATGCACTACTAAACAGTGCTCATTGAAAGACATATATAATATATTGTCGTTTGACTTATCTTTGACTTTGATGTATGATTTTAATACCGTAGATTTTCAACAGGCAGCTAGACTTTGACATATACCATGATCGTTGAGTTTCAGCAATGCCAAGGGCCAATGCAGGAAATTTTATAGTCTTTTGACGGGCTTTAAATTTTTTAATAAAGCTTTTATGATTAACAATCTGGATACAGTTGGCGTCTTGGCAATATTTCGGAAATCAAAACGGATCTCGCTATTTTGTTGCAATTCCACATATCATCAATAAATAAATTATTTTTGTTCGAGTGTCAGGGCAGACTTCAATACTAACAATATTATAAATAACAACCGCATTTGTCGGTCTAGAGATATATATTTTCATGTAGGCTTAATGCCACGCCGCCCAGGCTTTGACAAGTCTATAAGTTGAAATCTGGATCCAACTTGCTTGAATTGCAACTCGACACTAGATTATAGAGTAGAAAGTCAGATCACGATAAATATTAGTTTTTAACTGCAGTTCTCTTCACGATTTCGTGTTGCAAATTTAAATTTCATCACACAAAGTTGCCAATATTTTTACAACGCGACAAACACGCTCCTCTCCGACCCTATACCCATAGTATAATTTTACGTTTCACCCAGAATCTGTGTGACACGTGTCCAGATTGAAACCAGGGTCTTTCCTTCGCCTCGCGTCGTTCTAAGAAAGACCCTGGGAACGAGGTTGAGGTTTGCTTATCTAGGATTGTATTCCGTTGCATACTGTATTTCTTTCTTGCACAGGCAATTACAATGAACTTTTGTGCAATACAGGTGTAGTTTGACGTTACATTAACATTGTGTATGAAGGGTATATAAAATAAATCCTTTATGGTCAACAATTTTCTGAATAGTATTACTTATAAAATTCCCAAAATTATGAAAGAATTTTTTCCAAAGTGGCTATGTATATTCAGGTCTTGCGGGAATATCACGTCACGCTTAGAAATCGCGCGAATTTAGTATAACGGACAGCAAGGTACGAGTGTCTGAATTTGCAAAAAAATTGCCTTTCTTAATTCGTGTTAATCAGAGTAAATAAAAGTGATAAACCTATGGAATTTTGACTGTTAATGGATGACGTGTATGCTATTATTTAGCTCTAAACATTTGCCACTCAAAATGGCGAAAGTCAAACAAATCTGTCGAATTATGTGTTGCGACGTCACTTGCAAGGACATTACTATATATAACCATTCGAATTTAAAAATGGACCAATGCAGGGTTCGTAGTCTCCAAGACCAAAAAAATTCAAAGACTTTCAAACATTTTTTCTGCCTATTTTCAAAGACTTTTCAAAGACCTTTCAGAGCAATCAGCTGTCTAAAAATTGCGAGTGTAAGCACCATTTTTACCAGGTAATTAATCCCGTTAATCCCGTTAAATCACATCCTACAATGCGCCTTTTCGTCGATATTTGCGAAAACCTTGTTCTTCAATCAACCTATTTTGTTAGCTAGGAAATCGTATAATCAAACACTCACTAAAGAATTTAAGAGGCAATTTTTTTCAATGTCACGTATTTGCAATGAAAAGTGTTCAAAACCTAAAATCTTTTTGGCGTTCCTCTCAAAATTACTTTGTTTTAGCTTCATTCTCTAGTTTATAGAGTTAGCTACCCCCCCCCCAGAAGTAAAAGTGGGGGGGGGGTGCTTAGCCCCCCCCCCCAGAAAATTTGAATTTTTTGAAAAAATTTTGATAATTACGGAAAAATTTAGGTTATTTTTTGAAAATTTAGGTATGAGGGGACAAATTTGCAATATTCTGTTTAAAAAAAGTCTATTTCGGAAAAAAATTTTGAAATCTGTTCCGCCGCCGCTGCTAAACATATTTTTTAAGTTTGTTTGCCGATTGAAAAACGTATCGAAAACTAGAAATTTTGAATTTAGTCATAACCTCAAGTAATATATTATATACGCATTAGTTTTGAGCGCGTGTTACGTAACATACAAAAAAATCTGCTCTTAAAGACTTTTAAAGACTTTCTTCGCGCGTTTCCACACAATTTAAAGACTTTTCAATTAGAAAAGACTAAAGACTATAGACTAGTCTTATTAAAGACTACTTTAATTAGACCTTAAGGACCTGCATTCAATTTAAAGACTTTCAAGGATTTCAAAGACCGCTACGAACCCTGCAATTGTACAGTATCAAAATATGGAAATGTCTACAAAAATTCGCTCATTTTTGTTTCTTAAGGAGGCTCCCTACAGTTCCGTGCGGGATGTTCGCGGGACAAGTACGTGCTATCCCACGCAACTGCATGATCAAAACAAAACAAAAATTGACCATGCTTTTTTTAAAATAAAGCTATTTCTGAAAGGTTTCTAATGGAAAAAAGCGTTGAATAATACTTCGTTTTGAGTGCCAAATCACTTGCGAGTCTATACAGTAATTCTACATATGATACGAATATCACTAGACCAAAAAATAGCTACGATACAATATTTTAAATTTTTTTTTATACACTGTCAACTGACTCAACTGCAAAACATTTGCAAAATTGCATACAAACGTTTACTGAAAAAGTTGTTTACTTCTCAAAAAAAGGTTCACGTTTTTAGTCGTGTTTCTACAAGATTAAAGTGATTATATTTAAACAGAAATATATTTCAGTTTCATAGCCTAATTGTTCATTTTTAGCAAAAAGTACAAAACCAAACATGAAACAAAAAACACGTCCACCTGTTAATAGGCTGTTACAGCTCATAGATTGAGTTAGCTTCAACCTTGTTTTCATCGATTTAATCCTTCACAATAATCCTTGGCTGTCCATAGCACTCAAATAAATCGAAAAGTTGACAAAAACAAAACCTCGAACAAAACAGTAAATAAATTGCGGCTCGATTTTGCCGAAGGAAAACTCGTTCTGCGCCCGCGTACAATCTTTTACTAGTCAGCGACGCTTTTTAATAGGGGAATTTCTCGAGTTACACGAGGCTATTTTCTAACTTTATTTGCATTTTACTCATTAGTTTCATCGGTGACCTATCTTCAAATTTTGACCACGAATTTACTTTGCGGTAAATCTTATAAATTCCAAATTTTAAAAAAATCTGTAGTGTGGAAATTTCGCAATAAATTTTTCGCTTTTAAAAAAATCACACACTACAGAATTTTTTTAAACTTTCACCACAGTTGCAGAGCATCATTCCTTATTGATATATGAAATAAAAAAGATAGGTCACCGACATCGTTTTTGAGATAGCGGCACATTTATGAGTTAAATTGGAAGGCTTTATGCTGTCGTCATGTTGCCATGGGAACATTGACATCGTCTAAATCTAGTTCGAAATATTCCTTAGGTGACCAATATTGCCACCAAGTCGAAAAGAATTCTTGTTCTGCACGAATAAGCCTGTTTTACGGAATTATTGCTTAAACAAGAATAACTGTAGGGAGCCACCTTAAAGGAAACCTTAAATCATGTTATAAGGTAAATTATTAGTTTTCTAATTATGCTCACACCAGCCCAGATATTTGCAACTTTATAAGATATGATTTCGAAGTGCTAAATAAAACAAATCCAGCATGCCGTTGCTACCATACATGGCGTGAGTGGCAATCTAAAGTTCGTTCTTGAATTCAAAGTAAATTATTCAAATCTAAAGGCGATTTAGGTGGAGATTGCTCTGAGCTATATTACTTTGGCACAGAGTACCGAGGGCTCCGATTATCTCGGAAGGGTCCGACTGTCTACAGTTTTGAAATTTTGCGCCATCGGTGTTTTTGCGTCAAAGGTTAAACTTCATCCTTAAAGAACATTTTATGCAGGAAAATGGCACATCTTCGAAAATATATTGCCTCTGTTTGTCCTGTTCATACATCTAAAAGGTCGAGATTTGTTTGAGGGGATGATTATTATAATAGTGCCTGACAGCTGGATAATTTTGGCCATCTCAGTCGAATGAACTAACGTTGAAGGGTCTTGTATAGATGAAAAATTAGAGTGTAAATAAAGTATTATACATTTTAATACTTTGACTTAACCAGGAGCAGTTGTGAAAAATGCAAGTATAGGCCCTCTGGCAGGAATCCAACCTGTATAGCCCTGCGATCCCAGTGCAGTCATCTAATCAACTGAGCTACAGAGCTACAGAGAACTGAGCCACAGAGTTCTGCTACAGAGCTACAGAGAACTGAGCTACAGAGTTCTGCTACAGAGCTACAGAGAACTGAGCTACAGAGTTCTGCTACAGAGCTACAGAGAACTGAGCTACAGAGTTCTGCTACAGAGCTACAGAGAACTGAGCTACAGAGTTCTGCTACAGAGCTACAGAGAACTGAGCTACAGAGTTCTGCTACAGAGCTACAGAGAACTGAGCCACAGAGTTCTGCTACAGAGCTACAGAGAACTGAGCTACAGAGTTCTGCTACAGAGCTACAGAGAACTGAGCCACAGAGTTCTGCTACAGAGCTACAGAGAACTGAGCTACAGAGTTCTGCTACAGAGCTACAGAGAACTGAGCTACAGAGTTCTGCTACAGAGCTACAGAGAACTGAGCTACAGAGTTCTGCTACAGAGCTACAGAGAACTGAGCTACAGAGTTCTGCTACAGAGCTACAGAGAACTGAGCTACAGAGTTCTGCTACAGAGCTACAGAGAACTGAGCCACAGAGTTCTGCTACAGAGCTACAGAGAACTGAGCTACAGAGTTCTGCTACAGAGCTACAGAGAACTGAGCTACAGAGTTCTGCTACAGAGCTACAGAGAACTGAGCTACAGAGTTCTGCTACAGAGCTACAGAGAACTGAGCTACAGAGTTCTGCTACAGAGCTACAGAGAACTGAGCTACAGAGTTCTGCTACAGAGCTACAGAGAACTGAGCCACAGAGTTCTGCTACAGAGCTACAGAGAACTGAGCTACAGAGTTCTGCTACAGAGCTACAGAGAACTGAGCCACAGAGTTCTGCTACAGAGCTACAGAGAACTGAGCTACAGAGTTCTGCTACAGAGCTACAGAGAACTGAGCTACAGAGTTCTGCTACAGAGCTACAGAGAACTGAGCTACAGAGTTCTGCTACAGAGCTACAGAGAACTGAGCTACAGAGTTCTGCTACAGAGCTACAGAGAACTGAGCTACAGAGTCCAGTTGTCTGCTCCTGGTTAGGTCGAATAAATGTATAAAAATTTACACTCGAAATTTTCATCTACAAAACCGTTCCTGAATCCTGATAGCTGCAGACGATTTAAAAAATACCTGGATTGATGATGTCATAACCGTCTTGGAATGATATACCATGAGAAACCCGCCGTCGTTTTAATTTTGGTAACGTTGTTCCAGATTCTTCAATTGCGATAGATGATAGTCTTTTGTTATGAGCCGTGTTGAAATCTGTTAGATCCTTTGGGAGTAATAAAATAACAGATAAATATCAATACATTCAAGAACTGATTGTACAGTATGTTTCCATTTCCCTCTTGGGTAAGTAATTTAATGGCGAGATTTAGTGTCCGAGTTGTCCTTATTGGAGATTTAACATTAGGCAAGAATTAGGTATGTGACACCTTACCCATACACCTTACATTGGGCAAGTAGTCAAAAGTGAGATTCATTCATACATGCGAGGATTGAACCACATCTAGTTTGTCACAATTCTAGAAACATGCTCGACAATTTGGTTTAATTGTATTGAGAACAGGGACGTACTAACTAATGTAATATACTTTATGTGTGTGTTGGTGTTATGTACTCAGGTGAATATGATGTTTGTGATGTTACTCTGAGTAGGGAGTTTAAGATCTTGACGAAAAACTACCGACTACGTCTGAAATAGTTTTGGTTGTATGTATGCAAATTCTAAATGCTTGTCATAACAAATTTATCCCAAATATGTTTTATATGTATGGCTTGGTGTTCGGCAAGTTTCATCTTTTAATTTTAATCATTTCTTTATAAAAAACTCTCCAACCTGCAACGTTGCGTAGTCAGTTTCGGTGCTATGTTCTTGATTCTGTTTTACAAGACAAGAATGTGATTTTTACGCTGCAGCCAAGGTCGCTACGGTGAAAAGTATGTTCTGGGAATATGTAAATGTTGCCTGTCTTTGTTAAAGCAATGCGAAAACAAGCTTTCAACCGTACTCCGTACCCGTTGTTCGTTGTCGGGATCTTAAACTCCCTAGTGTGCACCAACACCGGGCAAGCTGAAACGTTTGCCTAACCACGGTTAACCTGACTATCAGGCTCTATTTTACAAATAGAGCCTGACACAAACCTTAATCCGATCGCTTTCCGCCCACAGCAAAGTTTATATTTAGTATCCAATCAAAATGTCGCAGGAGAAATTTAAATTTCACACAACGACAATAACAATCTAATTATAGTTGTGATCACTATAAAATATATCAACAACAATAGTATAATCTAATTAGCACCAACCAATCAAATTACAGATTAAAAAATCTTTTGTCTAATAGACCAATCAGATTTACAACCGTAATCCGGTTGTAACGGCATGGACTTTTGTTAAGATTTGTATCAGGCCTATTTATTTATTGATAGGCCTGATCGCAGGTTAAACCACGGTGGGAATCGAACCCGCGACCTTTGGGATATTGTAATATAACCAAAATCAAACATATACTATACTAATATGAAATGATTAAGAGGAGAATCTTTTGTATGTTACGTAACACGCGCTCTAAACTGTTGAATATACTTTTCCACTTGGTTATGACAATATTCAATTATTTAATTTTTGATACGTTTCTCAAGCAGACAGACAAACTTAAAAACTATGTTTAGTGCTTTATCTGTAAAAAATGCTAAAATGAAGAGATTTTCATTTTAGACGGTACGTCAAAGAGAAAATTATATATAAATGCTTAAATTGACAATATTTAACTACTATTTTGTGTTTCTCGATCGCCAGATACATTTAAAAAGATAACTTCACTAACAGTGTAAACTACAAAATAAAGCTAAAACAAAGTAATTTTGAGAGGAATCCCAAAACGATTTTAGGTTTTGAACACTTTTCATCGCAAATACGCGACATTGAAAAAATTGCCTCCTAACTTATGCTCCTTGAAACAACCCAACTACTGTGTATATCAAACAAGACATACCTTAAGGTCTGTATCGGATTCAGGTAACCCTAAAAATCCTCCTGCTGATGTTTCGTTCTCCTCATTGTCCTCTTTATCCACATTCTGTTCATTACTCCCCTGCAACGTCGCTTGCATAGCGCTCGGTAATGTTGGTTTTTCTCGTAATGTATATGTCCGTGATGACGCTCCGAAGTGAATGACACTTTCAACGGGAAGTTGCGTAGGCTTCTCACTTTCAAGACGAATGTTACCAATAAATGTGCCATGAGCTATAAGTGCAGAGAACAATTATGAATTAACAAATATAAAACATTTTCCGTGTTGATATACAGTTATATCAACACGAGTGGAATTGGGAAAACGAGAAATTGTATGGAAACACGACGCCCGAAGGGCGGAGTGTTTTCATACAATTTCGAGTTTTCCCAACTTCCACGAGTGTTGATATAACTATATATCAATACGGAAAAAATGTTTTATATTTTTTTTATAATATAGCAATGTGAAAAGCCCGAAGGATAAGAAAAATTTCCGTGTTTACAAGCGGCGGAAAATTTCCCGTGTTGACATTGAGTTATATCAACACGGCTCTTAGCCAATCAGCGTTCAGACTTTACAAATGCTATATTATAAATAAGAATGTGCTACAGTGCAAGTGAGCAAAAGTGCCTTTACATGTAGTTATATCAATCGATATTGTTATTTGCCCGGTCACGGAAACCAACGAGATTTGGCTATTTGTTCGTGAATTAATTTGAGTGGTTCATTTAAATGGTCAGCGGTTGTTTCAATCAATAAAACCGGAACCTTACCCGAACCTAACCCCTTCCCTAACCCTAACTGACCAGGCCACCTACTCCCAGGGCGATCTAGCGCGTACAAGGCGAGTGCCTTAGCCGGCTACCAACAATTTGCTTGAAATTAATGAAATTTACTTGATGTCATTTTAGCAAGCTGACAGAACGAAGAAATGAACCATATATGAACGTAGTTGCAAATTGTATATCACTTTGAGTTATGGAAATTATGATAACCAGATCTTTTACTTAGAACTTCATCCAAACTGGAATTTAGTTCGAACACTACTTTGACATAAATATTTATCCATTAAAGCCGGTTACAGACGAGCAAGTTTTCTATGACAAGTTTTTATGTGACAAGTTTTACTTGCCAAGTGCACGTGTGTATACGCAACAAATTTTATATGACAAGTTTTATTTACTGGTATGAACGTGTCAACAAGTTTACTTTGACAATTTATTAGTAGCCAGCTCGCCAATCACATCAAATGCTCAGATTACTTTGACAAGTTTTCTTTGTTGACCCATACAGACGAACAAAATCTGTACTTTGATAAATAGCATGCTAGCTTTTGAACAAGTGCACTTGTCATAGAAAAATTGTCAAAGTTGCCCGTACAGACGAGCAAATAAATCTTGTCACATAAAAACTTGTCATAGAAAACTTGCTCGTCTGTAACAGGCTTAAAGAGCTACAAAACCTCAAATCTCACATATATACTGTATATACATGATTATATATAAATTATTCCAGACGACTAGGGCCTTCGCCCGAAACGTCGAAGCTCTCCTTGTATTTTCCAGGTAGTTGTATCCCTACCAATCCGAAGCAATCTTATTATTGACACTATGGACTTCAATGATCTTGTTTCTTGCACTTCACTTGGTGGTATTAATATTTGAAATTTGAATGCTGTTTTTAGGACTAGTAATCCAAGTGAGTATCTATACACTTTAAGACCTGACCAGGAACGACTGCGAAAAATGCAGCACAAGGTCCTCTGGTAGGAATTGAACCTACGGCCCTGCGATTCCGGTGCAGCG